TAACCTCAGTACTAAGACAGCAAAATTCCCTCCTGGTAAGCAACATTTCTACATAGTTGCCATGACTTGCAAAGAATATAAATTTAGCCCTTGAATGAACAAAATGTATGAGATCTGTTCTCTAAGTACCTAGTGAAAACAACTGCTAACAGCAGCAATAATGCCTCAATACAAAAACTGAATCAATTACTGGGAGATCCATCTTTGAAACAGCAGCTTCTTCTTAGAGCAAATAGTAAGAAACAGAAAATGTACATTTGATGAAACATTTTTGCAATTTTTGCACTGGAGAAACATTTCATAGATCTTATAATAGCATTTCTATAAATCACAACTTAGCATGACAGTATTTTTCAAGCTTATTGCTAGTTCTTCACAGTCATCAAATATTGCATAACTCATTTCCATATTTTGATACCTGTACCAAATAATAGGTTATTGGTTTCTTCTGTAATCCTACATATTCTATTTGTGCATTTAGAATCATTCTAGCTCTACAGTTCTTGGCTGAAGGCCTGACACAAAGCCTTCTGTGTATGATAATCATACCTCCCTAATTTTGACAACAGTCTGAAAAGTGTGATGCTAGTTATGGAAATAATGTGAAAAATTGTTCTCAGGACTTTCCTAAAACATCCAAGTCTATCTTAATCATAGGTATTGTGGGTCAGGGTGCTGAAATTACTTCTGAGAACATAGAAAATATTTGAGACGTTTTCTTGTACAAAGTCCAATTTCAACAAGGTCTTGAAGAACTAACGATTTCTTAAGATTCAAAGATGGATGAACTGTAAGAGACAGACAGTCAGGCACACTACAAAATAGGCAAAACTGGAAGAAATTTCCCAAGAACAGTGAGCATTTCTGTCCCTGCATTGTGGTGTCCCTTTTGGGTATTCCATGGGGAGTGGACATAGGTATTGAGGAACTTGAAAAGCTTCAACATGTAGTGAACTTCTATAAATATCAATCTGAAGAAGTCACATGCTAAGACATTTCATTTCTAATACTAGTTTTCTTTGGTACCCTAATGATAATCTAGATCAACATCACACACTTTATAGGAACTCAACTCACCAAATATTGATATATTTTGCTAGCTAAACTCAAAGCACTATTAGGCATTGGCTTCCTTCAGAGAACCTAAACTCTGTTGTCCAGTTACTCCCACATTAAATATCATTGCTGACCACCCAAAAATAATTTCATTGCCATAATGTAACTACCCTAGGAGTTACTACAAAAAGTGTCTGTCTCAAGTATGTTTCATCTAAAGTTGCTTGTGCTCTTTCTAAGTTAGGTATGTTTTGAAGAAATTGAAGAGGAGAGGAAGAGGGAATAAACTCAAATGTGAAAGAACTTTCTCATCACGAGTTTTTTTCTCACAGGGCTTCTGGCTTGGAAAAGTTGAGAATCCATTGAAAGGTGTACTGCTGGACTTGTCAGAGCAAGCAATTTCCTATAATTGGACTACCATGATTTTAGGTTAATGGAGACCCGTGTTAGTAAGATATCTGAGCTACTGGCTATCAAAAATAAGGGGCAGGTAGCACTGATCTCAGAGTAGGATCATGAAATCATAAGCAAAATCAAAACTTATTCTAAGAAAATAAGAGAGAGGGGAGCAAATTGACACCTTGCTAAAAAGCTATGGATGCTAAGAGGAAGCGAGGGATATTTGTAAAGTCACAGGACAAAACTACACTTGCCTTTGCTTCATACATTTGTGTATTTATATAGTCTTTCAAGGAATGTTTATTTCTCAGTAGAGTCATTCATAGAACAGCTGTTCTTGGGGAGTTCAAATTGACAAAACTTCACTTGCCTTTGCTTCATGTATTTCTGTATTTATATAGTCTTTCAAGGAATGTTTATTTCTTGGTAGAGTCATTCATAGAACAGCTGTTTTTGGGGAGTTCAAATTGAAGAAAGAAGTGGATGCAGATATCTTTTATTTTTCGAAAACTAGAAAAACAGTCTGCATCCTAGTGGAGTCTCAGGGATGTTCTGAGAGTACTCAGAAGGTGTATCTGGGGCAAAAACTATATTTAGATTTGTAGTAGGTTTTTATTAAACATCAGTAGTGTGAAGGAAAAAAACCAAAAATACAGCTCTGCTCTTGACTCCCCGTTAACTACAAGAATCAGAGCTCATTCCTCATACCGAAAGAGGACAAGAAAGGGGTGTGGAGGAGGGGACCAAAGTAAGCAATCAAGAGATATAGGAGCAAGAGAACTCTTGTCCTTCAATAGCTCACCTTCCCCTTCTGTTTCATCTCCTCCTCCTTCTTTTCTGTTGCTTCTACAACTGTTACTCTAACAATATTTGTTTCAAGCAGGTACAGTTTATCATGCTAGTAAAACTCCTTCTCTTTCTCCCATCATGTATGAAACATTTCCAAACCACAATCCACCACAAATGAGAGTCTAGGGCTTTGTAGTATGACAACTGAGTTTGAATCCCATTTTCATAATTAATCGCAAGTCCCAAGGTGTGCTGCTGAACCTGGCTAAGCCTCAAATATGTAATTGGGTTACTCAATATTTTTTACCTTCAGGGACTATTGTGAGGAATAAGGATAAGGTATAAGTAGTTTCACCCCACTGTACTGACATTAGTTCATTCTGGAACCATGTTTCCTGGATTGGAAATCTGGAACAAGTGTTTCTGAGCTATGGGATTTCAGATGTTACTTAACTTCTCTATGTTCCTTCCTCATCTGCATTTCCAATATTCAGTGAGGTGGGTTTTTGTTATTTTATTTAATTTCATGAATTTCTGTATTATTGTCATGAGATTAAATTAAATATATTAAGTTTAAATATTTTATTTATCTGGAATATATAATGTATTGTACAAATAATTTATTGTTGATTAATTCATCTTGTTATATACTCAAGATATAAGAATTTTCTACCTACTAACTGCTAGGCAGTAAACAAACTAAACTGTTATCACCCTCATATAAATTATGTTAAAGTGTAAAGAATAATGATAAAGCAAAAATAGTAAAGGAAGGTAGGAAGTGCCAAAAGTGGGAATTAGATTTTGTGCTTAAATATAAAAGTTCTCTAAGAGTATAAAAGCTATATCCTTTTAGTATAAGCCTAAAGGAAATAGATGTAAAAACTGTGCAGATAGTGTCTGTACAGCGTGCATGCATGTACAATTATAAAAGATTGGAAGTGCTATCATGAAATTAGGCCTGCCATTGTCTAGCTGTATCAGGATGGTTGTCAATTCAAGTTCACCTTGGATAATTTTTCCTACATGAAATATTTTATTAATACCACTAACGTTAGGGCTTTTTAAACCTTCCCTGAGTTTACATGTGTGTACAAATGCAAAGTACAAAGGCATTATGGAGAAAACATACATGGTGTGTTTTAGGAACATGAAGGAAGTAGGTTTGAGCTTGGGTCAGAGTAAATGCAGGCAATCATTAGATTGAGAAAACAGAGTCAAGGAGGCATAAATATATATATATATATATATATATATATATATTTACATATGTATATGTACACACACATATATAATATACATATATATAACACATAGTAGAGGACAGACAAATGAGGACCAAATAAATTTAGTGATCTAACCTGAGTGTACCAAGAAATTCATGGCAGTCTTAAACTTAAACTGTGGCCCCTAAGTGGCCATTTATACTACATATAGCACACAGCCTATCACCCTGCTGCAGATACAAGGGACCCTTTATTTCACTTGATGCTCACAGTAATACAGAGGTTTACATTATAATCTGTATTTTACACTGAGACACAGAAACATTAAGTAATTTATTCAAAGTTAAGTGTTTGGAAACTGGATCTGACTTTTGATGTCTTGCTCTATCTATAAAGATATGACCAATGAAATCCTTTCTCAGTAAGAATAAATAAAGTCTCTTTCATGTAGTCATTTAACAGTATAGATATTTATTCAGAACAATGCATAATAAAGTATCTATTGCAGCACTGAGCATATGAGAGATGCTCATTAAGCATCCATTAATTACACAGGAGTGTCCATTGAGAAATTGGTGAAGAATCTGGGCTCTCTCTCCTGAAGGTTGGACCTGTAACCCAGGGGACTTCCCAATCTTATAATATAGTTGTTCACAATACCTTCTGTAGTCCAAAATTAACACATCCATGGGAGAAGACAAATAAGTTGCATAACAGTAAGAAAGAAATAACAAAGACAAACTCAGAAAAAAGGGACAGAAACATAGAAATCAGAAATCAAATGAGTCAGTGGTCAGAAACTCTACCTACATCCATTTCCTAGATCATTTGGAATTTAGGGTCCCAGGTAAAAATATTAGAAATCTAGTTTGGAAACTTTTCTGCACGAATTTGTTTTGTGATTGTGGACAATTCATTTCTTTCTTTTTTCCTTTTTGTCAGTAATGGTAATTGAACCTTTTGCCTTATGCATATGACATTATCATTGAGCCCTCTCCCCAGCCCTCTAGGCAAATTCTTACCCTCTCACACTCCCTACCCCAGTTCCTTAAATATTTTTCATATTTATTCGTTTCCACTTATAATTCCCCGAACAGCATTTCCTGAATAAGAAGACTCTTCTATTAATGTGTAAAAAGCAGAGTTTTATTCAGAAAACATAAGTCAGTACAATATGCACTACAGGATACTGCTCATCTCTCTCACAGACATGGGATAAATAACTTCACAATAAATTAGGGAGAAGCCCACCTTTCCCTCCACAAGACCTTTCAGCATACATAGTTCATAGCTGCCAGCCAGTAAGACTTACAGATTCAGGATCAAATCTGTTTAAACCTGTATTTTTACTTATAGTCTCTGTTCCAGAAATTACAAATCAGTAGAGGTTTCAACCCTCCCCTAAAAATAAAAGCCCTTGTTTGCATAAAAATTTGATCTTGCTTGGATCTCTCCCCTTCAAAGTTAAATACAAGAAAAGCTTTCAGGGACCCTCCCTCCCCAGGAATTGAGTAATTAGGCTTCTTGTTGTCAGGCAGTAGAAGTTTCTTGATGATGCCTGTGAATCCATGCTAGGAAGCCATCAAGTTCTCCAAGAGATTTAATGGCCGCTGATTGGACCTCCAGCTGAAACCAATGAAATCACATGAGAATTTCCATTTCTAGATGGTATAATAAATTTTCAAATCACTTTCTCCATGTTTCAGTCCTCAGAAGGGGACCATTAAACACATTTTCATTTAATGTACTCATTAAATAAGTTTGCAGACCCTTACATGGAGCGATAGCACAGCAGATATGGTGTTTGCCTTTGCACGAGGTCGACCCAGCCGACCTGGGTTCAATTCCTCCACCCCTCTCAAGAGAGCCCGTCAAGATAGCGAGATTATCTCACCTGCACCGCAAAGCCTGGCAAGCTACCCATGATGTATTCAATATGCCAAACACAGTAACAAGTCTCACAATGGAGACGTTACTGGGCCCACTCGAGCAAATCGACAAACAATGGGAGGACAGTGACAGTGACAGTGATCCTTATGTGAGAATGATAGTTCTTTTCTCACTACACTTTGCAGGTAACGTGCACAGACACAGAAAAACATTGTCTCTGCTCCTTGTTTCTTCCAGCTTACACTTCCCTAGGAATCTTTGCTTATCTTTAACAGTGTGTGTTCTCCCTCAAATCTAATACCTTTTAAACTGACATGTGAGAATATAAGAAAATGGTAGAATATGACAAAGAAAAGGATTTCAAGAAATTAACAAATAGATAAGATCCACACACTTCTTTGTAGACTTATAGAATTGGGGTGGCTAAGTAAATGCTTGCTGAGGTGAATGCATGAATTTGAGTGGAGATGAGAATGAAGGATTGATATTTTTGTCAGGTTTATACTTCCTGTCCCCTTTTCTTTAGTCCTTACCTGACTGTAATTGTTGTGAATGGTTCTGGTTGCATTGATGGCTTCTGGTCTGCAGTGACACAACCTCTGCTCCTGGTATGAAAAAGGCAGTACATATCAGAGGATCTTTCTACACTAGCTTGTGTTCAGTGTAACCTCCCCATATGCAGACTGATGTTTATTCTTCCTCACTAGTGAAAGTAAGGTGAGCAAACTCATATTGGAGTAGTAGAGGGAGGCAAGGCCTGTTTACAGAGTCATTCTTTATTTGACCATGGATTTTCCTTGTTTGGGTACGGCCTGCCAAACTGGAATGGTTAGGTAGAAGGTTCTAGATCTATCTATCATCACTATGTGAATGTAACGATGCTCAATACATATTAAGGTGCTTAATATATATTTATTGGGTTAACTAAGTGATCAGTTAAATGAACCCATTTAGTTCCACTGTCTTACTGTAGTTAAATAGTTTCTAATAATTTTATCGTGGAAAGCAGAGAGAGAGAGGTCAAATAACTTGCTACAAAGTCAAATAGAAAATAATTGGCAGGAATAGGGATAGAGCCCTAATCTAAGTTTCTGTGGGTTTGTTTTGTATTCATATCTAACATATGTTTTGATCACAACTAATGCATAAACTACACTAAGGAATTGCCTATACCTGCAAACCAACTATAGGTAACAAGTATAGAGATGTTAGAGAACCAGAAATGGAAAAAATAGAGAGATTCTTATGTTAATGTGGGATCCTTGACAAGTTTTTCCCATCACTTAAGATTTCCTTTGTAATTAGTGGTCACTACAGACATATTATTTATGAGGAAACCTGAGGTCTGGGGAGGTGTGAGCAGAAAGGAATACTGGGAAAAGATTCTCATTAATTCTCCTTTAACTTCAGAACTATGTTAAAAGGTGTACTGTGTTCAGCATGTCTTAGGAATACCCAGGGTCAGAAGAGAAAAGGATATTGAAATCCATACATAATTACTCACACATTGTAGCAAAGTCTTGTGCAAGTAAAGGAAAGAGTTTGCAATGCTGCTGATTTTTCTCAAGATTTCAGGGCTCAACTCTTGGTGATCCTTGAATACTCTATCCACATAAAATGCCAGGAGGTTCTTGGTCACGCAGCAGACATCTAAGGGCTACAGATACAAATTAGAGAAAGCTCCCAGAGACCCTCTTCTCTTGTCATCCTAGAAACAAATCAGCCTATTTGAGTAGAGACAGCAAGAAGAAAATAACTAAAAGTAATTTTTGAAATTATGAAGAACTCATGTTATCTGTCTCCTCGTACCAAACAAAAGTTACTTATGATAAAGGTGAATTTTTCTGTTTATCTCCTCTTTTCATGTTTTTCATTCATTCTCTTTCACTTGTTTTCAAACCCCTTATACCATAGGTCTGGTTACTTCACCGTTCCTTGACACACATTATACCATGCTCCCTAAATCCTTTCTCCATTTTATATGCCAATCCACATCCTACTTATCTTTTGGGTCACCACATAAATTTCTTAGTTTCCCCAGGAAACATTGTAGAGTCATCCTAGGCATAGACACCCTATCCCATTTCAGTTTCAGCGTGTGACATTCCCATTAAGTTCTCTATAGTTGATCCTCCCTTAAACCCTATCATGGATTCCAAAATCTGAGATATAGTTTTGCTCTGTTACAAGTGAGAACTCCAGGCCAGCATTTCTCATTTGAGGGTCCTCTTTGGGTCTCCAGGATGAAGGATGAAAATTATATAATGAAGGGGTCATTGGAAACCAGGGGTCAGCTGGTATAATGGGGGAGAGGAGAGACTGGGTTCACAGAAAGGAAACAAGTTTGGGAGTGGGTCATGGGTGGAAAGTGATTGAGCACCAATACCAATCTAGATGCAGTAATTTGAGGGAAAGAAGATAAGGCAGATCTCTTCCTCAGTCTAGAACCACTTCATTATTAAAAAAAACTGTACAAGAAAAAGTGGATACAGCCTGATACCTTAATGTTCTTCAGGATTTCTGATGTAGCCAAGATGGTAACATTCTGGAAGGTGTCCTTAGCTTGCTGTGAAAGAAACATAAAAATAGACACAAACAATAAGTGCTTCATTGTCCTCCTGAGACACAAAGGATAAAAAAAAAAGAATTTGCTCTTCAAGTTAAGATATAAGGTAGGAAACGTCACTCATTCAGTCCCATTTACTACCAACCATCGTTTTCCCCAGTCTGAGGACGAGGGAAAGGCTTTCTGCTCTGCCCTCAGGCCCCCACAGACTAGGGAAGCTGACACCACCTCTGATCTAATTCAGGTAAGGAAATTTTCAAAGTGCATGAACATTAATAATAGCCTCATGGTGCTTCATTTCTTTATGTCTTATGGGGAACATACATTGGATAGCCAAACGTTGGTCCCCTAATTAAACAATGACACATAAATGTAGCAGTGGTAATAAAGAATTAACTTACAGCTATAACAGTGGCAGGGTCAACAACACTGACAGCCCCCTGGAACCAGTGCATGAAGTTCTAAATAACTAATTAGTAATAACAAATTTAGTCAAAATAGCTTTCACAGGGAATAAAGAGAGAGCCAACAAACTAGGGTCCTCCATTAAGCTCCCCAGCAGTGGGGAGGGAAGCAGAAACAGTAAATTGAAAAGACTGACCCTCAATCTGCAGCAAACACAATGGGAAAGCAGCACAGAATCTCACCACACTTAGTATGTAAAGACAGTAAGTGAAGCCATGAAGACTTAACCAGTCCTAATGACAAGTACTACTAATGATCAGTCCTACTGCTCAGATAGCACTGTAGCACTGTCCTCCCGTTGTTCATCAATTTGCTCCAGAGGGCCCAATAACATCTCCATTATGAGACTTGTTGTTACTGTGTATGGCATATCAAATATGTCATGGGTAGCTCTCCAGGCTTTGCTGTGCGGGCAAGATACTCTTGGTAGCTTGCAGGGCTCTCCGAGAGGGACGGAGGAGGATTCGAACCCAGCTCTGCCGGTTCAGGCCGCACGCAAGGCAAGCACCCTACCACTGTGCTATCACTCCAGCCCAGATAAATAAACATCAAACATTGAGGATGTTCAATGAGTTCAAAGAGACAGTAGTACAGATAGCCAATAAAACACAAGAAAGTATGAGAAAACTAAAATCAGAAATGAGAGAACTAAATAATTTGATAGGTAAAATGGAAAACTCAGTGGAAGTCCTTAGCAGTAGGGTAATAGGAGCTGAGGACAAAATTAATTATCTACAAGATGAGATGCAGAAAAGATAGAAAATTTCAGAAGATAGTGGGGGGAAGGATCACAACAAAACTGAAATCCAACTGAAAGCTGAAATCTAACTTTCTGCTTCCTAGAAGGAAAATGTTTAGTCACAAAACACAAACTCAAAGTTAAAGGTGGGCAGAGATTATTTCAGGCAAACAACTCCCTCCTAAAAGACTGGAATGAACTTAACATAAGCAGACAACATAAACTTCAAGCTAAAAAAAATGTTGAGACAAGGTGGTCATTTCTTAATGATAAAGGGATATATACATAGGGAAGAACTCACACTCTTAAGTATTTACTCACATAATGAAGCACCAGCAAAATAGTTAAAAACAACTGTTAATAGAGACTTGAAGGAAGACTTAGATAGAAGCACAATTAGCAGTCGGAGACTTCAGCATTATTCTAGCACCTCTAGACAGATCAACCAGACTAAAACTCAACAAGGAAAGATTAGCTTTGAAGTAAGAAATGAAAGAGTGGCTTGGAAGATGTATGTAGAGCTCTTATCTCTAAAAGGTCAAATACATCCTTCTCTGATATACATGGAACATTCTCCAAGATAGACCACATGCTGTCCCACAAAGCTGCATCTATAAAGTTAAGAGGATAAAAATCATATCAAGTGCACTCACACTCCAACAGCTGCTGCCATGCCTAGGGCCAGATTCTACCGCATCATAACTGAGCTCCACAGAGTTATCATACTGCCAAAAATTTTAGGTATGCAGGGGGATTTAGACTGAAAACTACAGGCCTTGTCAGATTCAGCAGGGACAACCTCCCTATACTTCTAAAAGCCCTGACAGCCACACCCATGATCCACTGCTGCCACCACTAAACTATTGGCCCTGCTCCAGAGACTTATAATTAAATCTTGAGAGAGATCAATTTGCTACAAAAACTGTTTGATATATGGTCCCAACTGAGATCTCCTGGGTGATCTAAGGTTCCTGCCCTGCCATAGCCACAGCAGCCACAGTCACTCCAATGGCTACTTCTATGCATATGACTGAACTCCACCACATCACAACTGAGCTCCATGGAAATGCCAAACTGCTAAAAATTTCATATGCACTGGTTATTTTTGGCTGAAAACTCCAGGCCTTCTTGGAGTCAAGATGGGTGACCTCCCCCCACTTCCCCACACTTCTGAAGCTTGGGAAGCCATAGCCACATTCTACCATCACCACCATGTAAGCTCACTGATCAGTTAACATTCTGAATTTTCTGGAGCAACATCTCCAAATTCTACAATACTAACATCCCAGTAAGAGCGCACCAGATTAGATGGAATATAGAAATCAACTAAGCTCAAGCAAAAAAAAAAAAAAGAAGGAAAGAAGAAAGAAAGAAAGAAAGAAAGAAAGAAAGAAAGAAAGAAAGAAAGAAAGAAAGACACGGTGGGCTTGAGCGATAGCACAGTGGGTAGGGTGTTTGCCTTGCACACAGCTGACTCAGGTTTGATTCCCAGCATCCTATATGGTCCTTCAAGCACCGCCAGGTTTGACCTGTGCATCACTAGGTTTTACCCAAAAAGCAGAAAAAAGACAAAGAAAAGAAAAGAAAAGAAATCAACTAGGCTCAACTCACAAAAACATTAACACAGAAGGTTCAACTAGCAACAATAGCTTAGTGAAACTTCAGACATGAACTTAATGTTCCCATGGTGAGATACAACACTTTTCACAAATTTTCTTTTACTAAATTATTTTTATAATTCCATAAGCCATATAGTGGTAATAAGAAATATAAAATAATTTTCGGCCTTCTATAGGGGTAGGCTTGAGGGATGATTGGGAAAATGGAGACAATGTTGGAGGGAATATCAAAATGGTGGTGGGATTGTTGTTGGAATATTGAATGCCTATAGCAAATGTACCTTGAACAACTTTGCAAATCATGGTTTTTAAATAAAAGGGGGGCTAATAAATAATATCAACTATCTTCTCAGACCATAATTCTCTGACATGAAAGTTAATCACAGGCAGAAATGAAGGAAAAAACTGAAATACCTGGATAATATCTGCTAATCTTTTTCAGACTCTTCCAGCAAACATAAAAAACAGAAACCCTCCCAGTTTCTATGAATATAACATATCTTTTTATTAAAATCAGAGACATCACAAAAGAGGAAACTATAGACCTATATCCCTGGTGAACATAGATGCAAAGATCTTCAACAAAATACTAGCAAATTGATTCCACCAACGCACCAGAAAGATCATGCACCATGACAAAGTGGGATTCATGAGGAGATGCAGGGATGGTTTAGCATATGCAAATCAATTAACATAATATACCACATGGTTACAAGGAAAAATTAAAATCATGTTATCATATCAATAGGTGCAGAGAGAGCTTTTGACAACACCTAGTATTTATTCATGATAAAAGCTCTCAATAAAAAGGGAATTGAAGGAACTTTGCTCAACATAGTCCAAACCATTTACCCCAAGTCCACATAAAACTTTATACTCAATGGGGAAAAACTGAAAGTCTTTCCTCTAACACCACGCACAAGACAAAGAAGCCCACTGTCATCACTTCTACTCTATATAATATGGAAGTCTTTGCCATAATAATTAAGCAAGAAAGAGATATTAAGGGCATCCAGTTAGGAAAAGAAGACATCAAGCTCTCACTATTTGTGAGATGACATGATGGTATACTTAGATAAAACCCCAACAACTCTCTACCAAAAAAGCTCCAAGAAAAAGTAGTTTTGTAAAGTGGCAGACTACAAAATCAACTTGAAAGAATCTGTGATTTTTATATAAGCAAATAATGAAATAGAAGACAGAGAAATTTTTTTTAAATCCCATTCACTATTGTGCTTCAGAAAATCAAATAGGAATTAGCTTAATATATGAAATGAAAATCCTATATAAAGAAGATTACAAAACACTGCTAAAGGAAATAAAAGAGGACATGAGGAAATGGAAACATCTCCTGCTCTTGAAATGGGAAGATTAACATTGTCAAAATGACAATATTCCCGAAAGGATTCAATGCAATCCCTATAATGATACCCATGACATTTTTAAAAGACATTGATCAAACAATCCTGAAATCCATATCAAATTAAAAAATTACTCCATGCTAATAGACAGAGTAACCCTAGGGAAAAAAGATGGGAAGCATCACTTCCTGCAGCTTCATATTGGACTACAATGGAATGGTAATTAAAATAGTGGAATAAGGATAGACTCTTAAGATCAATGGAATAAAATTAAAAACTAGAGACTGAGTTTCAGATGTACACACAGTTAATCTTTGAAAAAAAAGAAAAAGTATAAAGTGGAATAAGGAAAGTCTCTTCAGCAAGTAGTGCTGGAAAAACTTGTCTGCAACATGCACAAAAGTCAAATCAAAATGGTTAAAAGACCTTGATATCAGACCTAAAACCATAAATTACACTGAGAAAACATAAACAGATCTCGGTTGGGAGTAGGGGCGCGGGGGCGGGGGGGGGGGGGACTCTAACTCATTGCAGAATGTCTCTTGGTCCAACCTTTTTGGAAAGCAATATGGATACTACTCAAAAAACTAAGTATTGAGCTTCCATATGACTCAGCACCAAAGACAATCCAGGAAAAAACACTTGCACCCCTATATTCATTGCAGGACTATTCACAGAAGCCAAAATCTGGAAACAACCCAAGAGAGGGCAGACACAGAAAAATCTTGGGATATAAAGAAATATAGTAAGTTAATAGCAATTGCCCAAAGGCAATAGAAACAAAGAATATTAGAACTGGTCTTCAGTAGCAAGTTTGCCACTAAAGGCGCTAAGATAAGCTCTGGGATTAATAGTGGAGGGAAGGTTTCACTCTGAAAGAAAAGGGGTTGCAGAAAGGTAGTAAAGTGATATGCGTGAAGTGCATATAAGTAGCAGGATTGTAAATCAAAGTGCTTAAAGGGAAACAGTGACTGCCACAGAGGGTTGGAGCCATAGCACAGTAGGTAGGGTGTTTGCCTTGCACGCGGTGAACCTGTGTTCAATTCCCAGCATCCCATATGGTCCCCCGAGCACTGCCAGGAGTAATTCCTGAGTGCAAAGCCAGGAGTAACCCCTGAACATCTCCAGGTGTGACCCAAAAAAGGGAAAAAAAAATGCGTGCCACAGAGGTAGAAGTGGGAGGGAAACTGGGTACACTGGCGGAGGAAAGTGACACTATCACTAGGCATTTGTGTTGTATACCTGAAAAGCAATCATTAATTACTTTGTAATTCATGGTGATTCAATAAAAAAATTAAAAATTTTAATTAAAATATATAAAGCAGGCAAACCCCCTTGCACTTCATTCTAAACCCATACTCACAATAGCCTTTTTGATTTCTTGAAAGCTCTCTTCTATATGATGCACATCCATGGAAATTAGACATCTCCTAAGACTTCGGGTATGCACTAAGCACAGGAAGGGTATTGCACCCAGAAGCCAGAAGGAAACACACTGCTTTTTCATGTCCTAGAGAAAGAGGTGGAGGTCAGTATCCAAGCGTGGAGAGTCATGAAGGAGATCCCTGATTGAGCTCCCTTTTGGATTTCACAGGAAAACTCTCAACTTTAGGATCTCTGTGGCATATGTCTTTTCTCGAGTCAAGTGACTGTGGTCCCTCTCCCCTCCATTCATTCCCTACTATGTACTCACATCCACTGCTGGAAAGCAAAGTAGTACTTTTACGAGTTCCAAGAAGTACATTTATGTGGGATAATGCTCTATTATTACTCAACAGTCAATGGGCTGACAAGAATTGTGTCTAATAAAATAAATAGAAAAACACACAGTAATATACCCTAGAAATTAAGCAAAATATCTGAAAATTATTTGTCTGAAAAAATAAAAGCCTATTTGGATTTTTATGTTTGACTCTAAAATAGACAACATTAAAAAAAGCATTCGTGTGTTTGCTTAAATATTTCAAGTCACCTATGAAAATTTCTCCTTCTGGAAAAGATAGGAAAGAGACATAAGGTATCTCTTAATAATTAGTCCCAGAGAAGAGAAAGAAGGCTGCATGCAGAGAGCAAGTCGAAGGCTTCTACTATGTAACCCATTGAGACAGGGGCTAGTAGAGATAAGTTTACAGCTAGTCTCCAGCAGGGATAGCCCCTAACATACTTACTATATCTCCTAATTAACGCTTCCTGATCTTTCTCTCTAACTCTATTCAATGATGCCATTAAGAAATGTGCACACACCATTATTCATTACTGCATTTAGTACAATTGCTAAGATACGGAATCAACCTAGGTTTCCAATGACACTAACTCCTGTGCATTGCCGGGTGTGACTCAAAAAGCTAAAAAAAATAAAATCCTTGCATCACCTGTTCATTTCATGCCAAGTCTCTAATATTTAGTGGAGGAGAAAGATACCCCCTTGACTTGGTCATTCCAGACATCGTGGCATACTTAAATAATAGTGTCAGTTGACATTTATCATACACTCACAGGTTCTTAACACTATTCCAAGCATTCTACATAAATTTGTTTTCTAATGCTCACATTCACCCTGTGAGATAGGCTCTGTTTCTATCTCCATTTTACTAAAGAGTACACCAAGACAAAGAGAACTTAGGTTACCTTCTCAGGGATTGGCTAGCAAGAGACTGGACATAAAGACAGTCAGGCTGGTCATTGACAGCTCTCTCCTCACTCTACATCCTTTTCTTTTTTCATCTTTACTGGTGATGTCAGCAAATCCCCTCATGTCAGATAAGCAGAACCCATGCATTTACAAGAGTTAATGCTGCAAATCTTTTTTTTTTCTTCAAAAGATTTTGTTAGTCATCTCGAACAATCCCACAACCATCGTTGACTTGTTCTGAAGGAAAAACTAAAAGGTTTTTTGAAACCAGATTCTTTTTTCCTGCCCGCTTTTTCTTCCTTCTCTACTACTCTCCATCTCTTATTGAAAATAAGATACTAAAAGTTCGTCCTCTATAAGGAGTATGCCTTCCCACTCTTCGGGTAACCCAGCAGCTGGGACTCCATGGTGGTGTCTGGTCAACTCTCTGTAGCTGTGAAGACTAAGAGTTAGGATGGTAATGAATAAGAGCCTCTGATGAAGGCCAACGTGAGCTCACCTCTCACTGGATGCTCCTGGATGCTCTTGTGTCAGATGCTCTTTCTCAGCACCCATAGCCACTTGGAAAGGGCTGGTCACTTTTATGCAGGTGTATAGGAGGAAGTGCTGTCAAGGGTGGGGTTCGCCTTTGGGAGACTGTTTTTCCCCTTTTTCTTTAGCATCTCATTTCCTTAATTGTTTTTCTTTTCTTTCTTATTTGAGATACAGCTGATTAATCATTAAGAAATACACGTTTCTTCTGGGTCTTGACATGCAGATTCTAGGAAAAATAAAGTCCCCTTCATGCAAATAAGAAGTTCTTGTAATTCTGTGTCCATACAGAAAAATCCAAGTTAGGTCAGTTTCCTGAGAGCTGTGGCATGTTACCAACTTTATGCTCCAGGCAAACTTGAGGAAAGTACTCTCCTGGTAGTTGTGCCCCATCAGCAACAAGCCCCAGGAGACTCTTTCCACTTATGCCCCAGGCTCCAGCACCATTCATCTGCCAACATCTCATACATCCGTTGAGCATCTACCACGTGCCAGACACCAAATGTTTTTGATGCCTTATTTCAACTTAGTGGGGAGCATTTTCCCTCAATAGTTTAAGATTTAATGGACAATATTACTTTCTTTTTTAATTTTTTTATTTTAATGAGATACATTTAGAGACTTACAGACTTTCATGATCACATTTCAGTCAAACAATGTTCAAGTACCCACCCTTCCAACAGCGCCCATTCTCTACCCCCAATGTTCCCAGTATCCCTTCCCCCACCCCCACCCCTTCCCACCTCCTGCCTCTGGGGCAGGCACAATCCCTCTTACTCTCTCTGTCCTTTTGGGTGTTATGGTTTGCAGTACAGGTAACAAGCAGCCATCATATTTGGTCCATAGTCTACTTTCAACGTGCGTCTACTATCCTGAGTGATCCCTCCAACCATCATTTATTTAGTGCTCCTCTCTCCATCCTAGCTACCTTTTCCCCTAGCACATGAGATCAGCTATCAAGCCATGGGACAATTCTCCCGACCCTTATTTTAACTGTCCTTAGGTGTTAGTCTCCTATTATGTTACTTTATATTCCACAAGTGAGTGCAGTCCTTTTATGTTTGTCCCTCTCTTTCTGACTCATTTCACTTAGCATGATACTCTCCATGGTGATCTACTTATATGCAAATTTCATGACTTCATTTTTTTTCTAACAGCTGCATAGTATTCCATTGTGTAGATATACCAAAGTTTCTTTAACCAGTCATCTGTTCTCAGGTACTTTTTTTTTTTTAGATTCTAGCTATTGTAAATAGTGCTGAAATAAACATACAAGTACATATATCATTTCTACTGTACTTTTTTTACATCTCTGGGATATATTCCCAGAAGAGAATTCCCAGACCCAATAATTCTGGGTCAAATGGGAGCTCGATTTCTAGTTTTTGAAAAAATATTGCTTTCTTTTCCCTTTGTGTATGTGTGTGTATGCACCAAGACCTCATACTTGCAAAGTATTCTGCCTCCTACTTACAAATGTGTTCTGCCACTGAGATATTATCATCAGCCTTTGGATATTATTATTGACTTAGAGGACCCTTCCATGTTCTATTAATGCATAGAAAGAAAATGGACCTGGGTGGTAGAGAAGCTTAAGATCAGCCAGTGTTAGAGTCTAAAGTTCTTACTCTTGGGCCAGAAGATCCTCTATTTAACAAACTTTTTAATACATTATGGATTCTCCAAGGATAAGTGTTTGAAAGGAATGATGATGAAAGAAAATGTACTCTAAAAAGTTTTCTATCCAAACATGATGAAATCCCAAAATAAACAGAACTTGTTTTTACCAAATGAAGCAGTTCTGAAATAGGGTGCAGTTATGTTCCAAGGGTCCTTTGGACTATGGACTAAAACAAGCTAGAACAGACCCTGGTCTGTAGCCAGGTTAGGGGAACAAAGTGGTAGCAGGCAAGAGTACTGATAACGACAGAAGAGAAACAAGGATTTAAAACTTTTGATAGAAATAAAAAAGGAAACCCTGGGACTGGTAGGCTCTTTTCTCAGCACCTTGAATCCAATAAAAAAGTGTTTAAGAACATTTTAGTAATCTCTTATAGAAGGGCTTAGAATCTGGAAAAAACCTGAGTGCCCGAGAACAGATGACTGGTTAAAGAAACTTTGGTACATCTACACAATGGAGTACTATGTAGCTGTTAGAAAGGATGGTAAAGGTAAGGTAAAGGCCCTCCCGTTGATCGTCGATTTGCTCGAGCGGGCCCAGTAACGTCTCCATTGGAGACTTTGTTGTTACTGTGTCTGGCATATTGAAAAGATGAAGTCATGAAATTTACATACAAGTGGTACTACATGGAAAGTATCATGCTAAGCGAAATGAGTCAGAAAGAGAGGGATAGACATAGAAATATTACAATCATCTGGGGAACATAAAGTAACAAAATAGGAGACTAACACCCAAGAATAGCCAAGATAAGTACCAGGAGGTTTACTCCATGGCTTGAAGGCCAGCCACACATTCTAGGGGGAAAGGCAGCTCAGATAGAGAAGGGAGCACCAAATAAAGGGTGTTGGGGGGATCCTGCCAGGATGGGAGAAGCATGCTGAAAATAGACTATAGACCGAACATGATTGCCATGCAATGCCTCTTTTGCAAACCACAGCACCCAAAAGAAGAGAGAGAACAAAAGAGAATACCCTGCCACAGAGAAAGGGTGGGACTGGGGGGATGGAGGTGGTCGGGATACTGGGATCCATGATTGTGGAAAATGGGCACTGGTGGAGGAATGGGTACTTGATCATTGTATAATTGAAACCCAAGCACAAAAATTTGTAAGTCTACAACTGTACCTCATGGTGTTTCACTAATATAAAGTTTAAAAGAAGGGCTTAATGGTCCCTGGGTGAAATATAACAATCTTCACACACTTTCCTCTAAGTAACTTTTTTGGATCATTTTCAGCACTTTATTCATAACAAACAATACAAAATAAATTATATTGGTTCTGCTTTGGTGCAGGGATTCGGGTTCAGAATGGAAACATCTGAAATATGGTTGGTGGGAGGGTATAATGGTGGGGTATTGGTGTTCGAATATTAAATGTAATCAAATATTGTGAACTGCTTTATAAAAATAAATTTAAATTAAAAAAAGAAAATGTGTTTAGGGATGACAATATACTCTAGTGGTCACAATGTAAATCTGTTGAAGAGGGGACTGGATAGTACAGGGGTGACAACTCTTGCTTTGCACATGGTGGACTCTCTTTTAATCCTATCACCACAGATGATCTCCCATGCACCATCAGGAATCGCTCCTAAACACAGAGCCAGGAGGAGTAACGCCTGAGCAAGGGCAGGTGTAGTCCAAAATTCCCCCAAAATTATAC